TGGATCAACTCATTAGCTCTTTAGTAGACACTGCAAGATCTTAAATGGGTGGGTCAAGTAAGCAAGACCAAAACGTGTACTGTTGGGGTGCCTCCAGAAACAGGGTTGGGAAACACTGATCTGGAAAAACCTTGAAAACGAACAGGGATATTGTCAGATATATCCAGAGGGCAAGAGTGGCTATAGTGGCCATTAGATTTGATATACTAGTGGGTCGTTCCAGGCCGAGTGCTCCGGTAGAAGACAGCACAGCAGCCTGCACCGGAAACATTCCGGCAGGCTGAGCGAACCGGTTCTCTTCTCAACCTGCAGGCCCTAATTACCAATTATGAGTCCATTAGGGCTGCTGGCAGCTCATCGTGTCCCGCCGCAGCGGAAGGGGTTCTGGGTGTAGACCTCTGCCCCACTTCGCTCCGCTCCACTGAGCGCCTGTCAGCCCCGTTTGCGCCGCTGCCGTGATAGGACCCATGTACAGGCAGATAACAACACCTGACCTTACAACCGGTTACCGGGAGACACTCGCCATGCCGACAGGGCTCATCGCAGCGCGACAGCAGTGGCATAAATCTGAGCTTCTCGGGGTGACGAGACTTCATTAAAGAAGCACGAGAGAGAATGGGTAATGCCTCTGTAGTGTACTAATAGAAGCAGAGCCCTCGTTAGCCGAGCACGAGGAAAGATCCATCAACAGCATCTCCTTCTTTCGCTCGGCTTACAAGGGGACCGAGAGCGAGAGAGATTTAGACTCCCATAAGGAAGCACTGGCAGCAGTCTCGCAGCAGGCTGGTTAAATTATCTCACAGGCGAGAGGTGAGACACTTGCCAATGCACAGAGGAACTTGTTAAAGTCCCCCTTTTAGAGCAAAGCGTCGCCTAATGTACGACTATTGGGCCATGGTCAAAAGTTCAGCCCCTGCATATGTAAAAAGGTAGCGGAGCGCCTGAGGCAGAATCCTGGGGAAAATAATTGCGCTAAACTGCTGAAAACGCGCAGTCTGATGCCGGACTGGATCCCAATGAAGCGATTGTGAAGAAGGCGGGCATGACGGGGGGGAAGGTGGGGTGCTGATTGGGCAGCTGTGATTTTCCCAGCAGCTTCATGTCCCAAAGCATCAAGCAGCTATTAGATGCCACAAATACCCAACCGTCTAAGAAATGTCAAACCAAACATGCTAAAACAGCTGTTTGACTACACAAATGAAAATGTTACAGAGGCTTCGGGGACGTACAGTACTTCACATAAAACCATATAGGAAGTATCAAAAATGGCCTTTTTTTGACATTGAGCAAAAATATCTAACAAACATAAACCATTGCAGATCTAATAAAAACTAAATTTCTTGAAAATGTAAAATTTGCTCATGCAAATGAGACAAATGAGGAATTTTTGGATTTCTGAGCAAGTAACGTCAATTGCTATGTTTTGTTGATTCAAACCCTATTTTAGTAAGTCATATTAAATTCAATTCTAGTACAGTACAGTATATTATAGTTGCAAATAACTTTCTCATCAAAATGATTCCAATGGCAGATGGTTGGTTTGTATCCTAAATTGTACACTAATATCCTCAGTGGTGAGTTTAGTCAATGGAATGATGCATTTTTATCCCTGCTTCTCACTGACAGGACATCCATATGCCAGGAAAGATCAGTACCGTCAATTCTGCTCAGCACAAGAGACCACTTGATTATTATGAGGAGAAAATGACTCCACTCTTATCAAAGCTAAACGCATCTGAAAATCAGCATGGGCCTAATGTACAACTGCAGGCCACAAAGAGAGCAAGAGAGATGCATGGCAGAACATATCTGATGTACAGATTATAGATGAACACAGTCGTGAGAGTTAAAGTCAGATATCAGTCCTGCCTCTTTCCCAATGAATTTTTATCAACTCAGCAAAACTGAAAATTATCTACAAATTACAAGATGAGATAAATATATTCGGTTTTATGAATTACACTGCAACATCCTTTGCATTTTAAAATGGCATCTGCCATTTTTATTATTATATTTTTGTTTTATTTAATTGAGACAAATTGAGGCAAACAAATATTATAATAATAATAATAATAATAAATAAATGTATTATTGGGATGTTTGATGCATCTATGTATCAAACTGTAAAGAAACACTAAACTAAATGGAAGTGTCCCACTCAGATGCAATAAAACAGCAAAATAAGAGGTTTTATTCTAGATTTGTGCAGTTATAAATCACGTACAGCTTCTTGGAGAAGACAAAGGCGTATTACTGAGCTTGGGTGTAATATCGTTCCAGGCTCTTCCTGTCAACATTCTGCAGAGCTTTGCAACCTTGAACAATTTCCCAGCATCCCATATGAGACTGCAAGCAATTAAAACGATACCATCTTCATAACCTCACAACCAATAAATAAAATAACAGCACTGTTTTGTGTTAAGTTCACTAATATTTGAGGGGTTTCAGAAAAGGGAGAGAGAAGCACATTAACACCTTGGTAAGAACTGGGGTTTTCCTATGTTAAGTGTCATCTGTACTGCACTTAATATATGGTGAAAATAAAATCATTAATGACATCATTGGAAAATTTGCAAACTGAATCGTGATTCATTACCTTAAAAAAAATTGATATTTTCTTCAGGAAACACACGTCTAAAATGTTGGTTCTTCTTTACATGTTCAAAACTATGAAATGTTACAAAAAAAACATGACAAAAAAAAAAAAGTCAAATGAACAAATCACAGTTCAGAAACAGCAGCAGCAGAATGCCTTGATCCACACCGACGTCCATCAAACATGACTGAGAGCTGGAGAAATGAGCGGTTTTGAGTTACGACTGGGCCGTGCGCATAAACTTCTGGCATATTCATAACCATCTCTTTAATACATAATCAGCACGACTGAAATACTCAACACTACATCAAAACCTGCCTTCAGAGTTTTCAACCAAAATTAAAACAAAGAATACATCAAATGCATTGTGTGGCCTAAAGCGTATCAGAAGCGGAAGGAAATGCTTCAGGTGCGAAACAGGCAGATACTTTATGATTTATGAGGATGTTGAATTTTATAGTTTGTCTCTGTAAGTGTATGTGACTCGCCTCTTCGGGCTAAAACGGGAGAGTGTTGCCTACAGGAAGAGCTGCCCGCCTGATTTATGCGGCGCTGGGCTATACGAGCAGCGCTACGGCAGCGTGACACACACACACACGCTCTGCTAACTACAGGCGATTCCTGCTTAGGAACCCAAAAACATGCTAGTGAAACTTTCTTGGACCACAAAAAATTCAAGTACCAACCACCGTACCTGAAAAAAGTCACATAAAAGCAGGTGTACATTTACAGATGGTGTGAAATGAAGAAAACAAAGAGCACCTCAGTCACAAAATCATATATGCGACAAACAAAAGACGCAATAGCTTTGTTCTTCAGTCTAGCAAGCTACTGTTGCATTTCAAGGTACCGTAGGTTTCCAATGAGAAGGCTATTGCAAAACTTTAAGATACCTCATTTTGGCCAATAGTTAAGCTAGCATCACATGTATTCATCCAGAAAAGAAATACTAGAACATAAGGGCCTTTCGCACCGCTTTAGTTCCAGAACTAAATGTACAGTACTAAAGTACTGGGACGATTTTGCGCGAACTATTTTCCAGTACAATTTAAAGGGTTGCATTCGCACTGACAGTGTGCACTAAGAAGTGACGTAAGCCGGTCGACAGCGACATCATTTGTGCGCGGCGTTCAACAACAGAAACAAAGAAAAACAACATTAACAACAGGAGGATGGAGGACGCTGTGATCGGAGCTGTTTTTGTTGTGTCTCACGGGTTTCACAATAATGGACATGGAAAGTCGACGTATACGTAAAGCGATTGAAAGAACGGAAAGGAGGACTAAGAATCTCCAACGACAACTGGCAGTGCTACATTTGCTACAAGTGCCTGCACTTCAGCAGCCATCCATCTCTGTTTTCCATACTTGCGAAATAAGTTGACAATGTTTACAGTATGTTTACACAGCGTTTTAAATCATGGCGGGTGAGGGCGTTTTCGTACGCGTTTGGCCAATCAGTGTCTACTTACGTCACGATTAGTACCAGTTGTGCTGGTTAGACCCTGCTCCGGAGTAGGAGCTAATTTGGTTCTCGAAAAAGGCAGTCCGGTACTAAAATCGCACCCAGTTCCGGCGGTGTGAACACGCCAAAAAGTGGGTAGTTCCACAATTAGTTCTGGTACTATGAAAAGGTTCTTGCGGTGCGAAAGGCCCTATAGTGACAAGCTCAGTGGAAAGAAATTCAAGTCGAGTCAACTTCTTGCACAATATATCGGTACCATATCGGTTATTGGCCAAATATTAGATTTATTTATTTAAAAGCACAAATAACCATTAACATTATTAAATAATCCCAAACATGACAGATTTTCATACTGTACTGTAAAATTTAATTTGCAATATTTAAAACAACTTTTTTATTATTTTGTTTGTTTGTTTCGAGGTTGTTTTATTTAGACAAAATAGTATATCATTTTAAAATCAAAGCAAGCAATGAATGAACGAGCGAACCAACCAACCAACCAATCAGTTTATTGGTATCAGGCAAAATTTTTATATCAGTGCACAACTACTATATTTACTATATTTAATGCAATACCAGAAAATATAATCAAAAATACTTCAATTAAAAATGTAAATTGGAAATGTTCTGTTACACCCAGCATATTTTTATGCAACTTAGGGTTTATTCATAAAGTAACGTTTTTGCAGCAACACACTAACATCAAACTCCATTCAAATTAGCTGTATATCAAGTCTACCGTGTGCTTCACATGAAGAAATCGAATTGTGTGACATGTTGTTGATGCCTACGAACAATGATCAAAATCGGTTGCCATTTTAGTTATGATGCTGAAGAAGTAGCTGTTTAAAAACTAAAAAAAAAAAACTCGATTAAGGAGCATTCTTAATCGTCCACTACATCAAGTGAAAGAGGGAAAAATGACATATCTTGCTCTTACCATAGACTTGGTGAAGGGTCTTGCAAAGGTGAAGAGCAGGGTCATGAGCCACCAGCTGCGGTGGATGGAGGTGTACATCATGTTCCCAGGATGCAGTGCGTTACAGGTGACGCCGTGGGGCGACATGCGGCGGTGCAGCTCGCTGGAGAAGAGGATGTTGCAGAGTTTGGCACGGTTGTAGGCTAGCATTGACCAGTACTCCTTCTGTGGAGGTGAAAGCAGATTCGGCTCCACCTTCCCACACGAGTCCACCAGATCCGTGAACCTTCACAAACAACAAAGAGCAATTCATACTAACATCAAAACAGAAGACACTTATTTTGAGAAATGTCTCTTTTGTTTGTTTTCTGTTCTGATTTGTGTCTTGTGTGTGGTTTGTTGTTTATGTCTTATTTTATTTTATTTTAAGGTTGTTTTTTTTAGGTTTTCTGTGTTTTTTTGTATTGGTTTTTGTTTTGCTGTTTTGTTTTGTGTTGGTGTTTTGTTATTTTTGTGTTATTTTTGTTTTCTTGTAAGTGTCTTGTTTTGTTTTATGTTGGTTTTTATGCTTTGTTTTGTGTGGGGTTTTTTTGGTGTTACTGTTTGTGTTACTGTTTTGTTTTGTTTGTTTTTTTAATTGTTTTTTATGCTTTGTTTTATGTTGGTTTTTATGTTGGTTTTGTATTTTTCTTGTAGGTGTTTTGTTTTGTTTTCTGTTTACTTTACTTTTTTATGTTTTGTGTCTTGTTTGGCATCTAGTTTCGTGTCTTTGTTTTTTAATTTGTCCAAATGGAAGTCTAAAGTCACCAAAATTGTTTGGTTTCCAACATTCACAGAAGAAAGAAAGTCATACAGGTTTGGAATTTGGAAGGTAAATAAAAGATAATAGAACTCTCATTTTTCAATATTGAACTAAGGGACCAAATTGATTTCTCACCAACTACAGTGTGACTAAAGTCTCAAGTCTAAGGTTAACAGGCGGGAATAACCTCCAGAATGTGAGCCGATGGAGAAATGAACTAAATGAGTGTTGGCAGGCCAGGTCTGGCTTAATGCAAATCAAAGCTACGACATGATGTTCTTAAATTGGCTCTGACTAAGCTGTTAAACGTCAGATGTTTGACAAGGCCCCTGAACACAAGACATTATATTTTCTCGATGTGTCCTTGTGTGTGTGCGTGTGTGTTTGTATGTGTGTGTGTGTGTGTCTGTGTGTGTGCGTGTGTAAACAGTCCCAAGAAACTGCAGTAAAATGAATGGTCCCTCCTCTAGTGCGTATCAGAGCCCGCAATCGCATTCAGCATTTACCTCTTAATTATGCGCTTTACATAACAACCAATCAAAACGTCACGTTCGCTGTATGACAAGCTCAGTGTGGCCAGTGTTGATGTTTGACACGTTATATCTCTGCTTGGGTAAACAACAACATCTGCGGGCATCACGTTGTTACAAATACTAAAGGTGTGAACTGTGGCAGTGGAAAGGAAACTAGTTAATTAAAGGAATAGTTCACCAAAAAAAAAAATTTTATTCAATAAAATTCAGATATAATTTATTCACTTTCCTGTTTCCAAACCCAATATGACATCAGCACTTTTTCCCCCAAAGAATGAAATTAGCAGGGTCTATCAAGTTAAATAAATAAAGTAAAATAAATAAATAAGTATCATCTTTGCTAAGAGTGGTCAGGGATCAACACTAAGAATTTTTTCCACTGGCCCAGTGGTTCAAATTTTTACTTGCCCTGCCAACATTTTCACTGGCCCTGTCACAAAAAATAAAATAGTTGCTGTTATCATTGTTTTTGATCTGTTATCTTGTATTCTGATAAATAAGCTTATAGGACACCAATATTTATAAAATTTTACAATTCTCTATTTCAAGTTTGATACCACAGCAAAAATCACTAGCCAAAAATAAACATAAATATAATAAAGTTTAAACATTAAAGACAAGTGACAGCCAGTAAATAAGAAAAAATGAACAAATAGCACAATTAAATATAGGCCTATAGCACAAAAATCGAAATGAAATGATTCTTTATGTTTGTAGATGTTCAGGTACAGAAATTGAAAAATCACATATAAAATAACATTAGCATATTCTTCACTCTGTGTTGCACCTTGATATTTTTTTGCATTTTAATCATGAATTGAAAAAAAGAGCGCAATGTTTGACTTATATTAGACTGTATAGTTTCAAAATCTGAAGCAAAAACAGAATAACCTGACTTTAGCTTTGTGAAATTATGCTACATAAAACATCTGTATGAAACAGAAACAGCAGGTGGGCTGAATGAGACGCAGATTCACTCTCTGACAGCAGACAGCGCTTATGGTACAGTGATACAGCATTTCCTTGACCATAGACTGTAAAAAAAAACACTATTAACACTAATTTAAATGCATCATACGGAGACAAAATGAAAACGCCATTTCTGAAAACAGTCAGTTCCGTGTGCAAGCACGGAACAGAAGATAGTCTGAAATAAAACAAAAAATGTCCGGTGCATCTGTAACTTACTCCAGTGTATAAATTCAATATAGATTAATCATTGTTAAAGCTACAAAGTTACTTGCCACGGCGGGTATTTTGATATACTTTTGTATTTGACCGTTCAGGCGGCTCTCTGCGCGCGCTGTTCACTGAATGTAGTACTGAATGTAGTTGTCTTTCGCACCCAAATGCTTTTTAATCGCTTGAATTTTTTAATTAACAAGTCTTAAAAACACATGCAAATGATAAGTCGTGACGACGCTGCAGTGGCCCGATCGGGCAAGTGACAAATCCGTCTACTGTCCCGAACGTCTTTCACGGGCCATCGGGCAGTCCTTATTGTCGATCCCTGGTGGTCCATTATTCACTAAAAATCTTGCCCTCATTGTCATTTGTGTATGCACACATTGTAACTTAACACATAGAAACCAATAACATTTGGCATCAATTATGTCAAACCTTTAGCAATATGTCAAAGTTTGCATATGAGACCATTTTCTTGATATTTAAAACAAAAATAAAATCTTAAAATATAAAATATAAATACATTTTCAGTTGTTTGTTTTATTTTATTGTATTTTATTTATTTTTCCATGTGGTCCAGCTGACTGTGCACTGTATTCCAAGTCTTCTGAAGTAGTTCTGTGCATTCAGTGGGGAATAAAAAGCACTATTGCAATGATAATAAAAAGCTTCATGCAAAATAAACAAACAAACAAATTAATTTTATTTATTTATTTATTCATTTAAATTTTTTATTTATTTCACAATTTTTTGAGCACAATATCATGCATCCCTATTAAATTTCAAGTGCTGTGTGACACTGAACGCCGTTTAAAACTCCTTTTCTGTTCCATTGAAGAACGAAAACCGGGTTTGGAATGACATGAATGCAAGTAAATGATGACAGAATGTTTTTGTTATTAGTATTTTTGGCTGAACTACCCAGTTTAGCGGTTATATATCCATCCCCACTATCCCTCAGTCTGCACATGTTGACTTTGTCATCACCTCACGGCCAGGATAATCCATACGGCCTTCCCAGCAGAGGCATTCTGGGGTGGAAATAGTCTATTTTCAGAACAGAGGTATGAAAAGGTCAGGTCAGGCTGGTATTTAATGACTGCAGTATCCTGCTTTAAAGAGACTGAAGTATAAAGGCGTGAATCTGGTGTGAGTTTTCAGAGGTGAGTTTCCTGTCCACGCTATCAGTGTCCTCTTGTTTGGAGTCGGGAGGCAAATGCCAGCACCTATCGGTCCTGTCACTTAAGCCCCAGTGCTACAGCGCAGATAAACGTCCCCGCTGGCTCCATTTTATTCTTCCACCCTCAATCTCCCCAACCCCTCATTCTTTCCCTCCCTCTCCGAGCCGCTTTCCGTCGCTCGCACGGCCATGTCAAGGTTTAACGGCTCTTGCGGCTTTGGGAAATATAATCTCTTCCTGGGTCAGAGGTCAGATGGGGAGCTCAAAAGGCCACATATTAAAGGCGCTGGAATTTATAGAGATGAGGAGGTAAGGATCAAAAATGATCAGGTGTAGCAGAAGAAATAAACTGTAAAAGTTAAATGGAGGGGTTACTGCGATAACAAGTAAGTGATTTTACTGTTGGCGAGAGCAAATTGAGATTTTGTTCCCTCAATGACACAAGGGGCTTGTTAATCTAATGGACCCTCACACTCTCAGAGCCGAAACTGTTCTTCAAAGGACTTTCATTTAATAATCACGTTACAGGAAGAGTAATCCCCAAATATTAGCTCTTTTTCTACATACTATCTGTACTACATACACTATACACACATTTGAGAATCTGAGAACAGAAGTGGCCCGTTTTTCAACCAAGAGGTCAGGGTTTTGATAGTTAGCATGGTCTAGTTAGCATGTGCTGATAGATATCGTACACAATCTGACTGTAAAGAGCAACCTTCTCTATTGTCGCAAAATTATCCGACTCAAAAATTATAAATCAATCTGGAGACGCTGTTGATGACTGTTGGTGAAGTGACAAGTGAGAGTAAATGGATAATTGTGCACAAATGCTTCAGAGCTGAAATGAGGGAATGATGGGAGATAATCTAAAGTAAATAAAGGTATATAATCTAAAGTACATACTGGTAAAAAATGTATAGCCTGAATGCACTGTAAGTCGCTTTGGCTAAAAGCGTCTGCTAAATGCATACATTATTATTATTATTAATTATTAATTATTATTATTAAAGTCTCACCTGTGAGACTCTGAGGAAACCACCACCACACGAGCCGGAGTGGAGTGCCGCAGGACGTCCTGCAGGAGCTCAACCAAGTAGAAATGGCCAAGATGACAGATCTGAAAGGTGGTTTCCAGCCCGTCCTCCGTTAAATTCCAGGGCTGCGTGCAAACCGCTGCATTACACACTAGGATGTGCAACGGCCTTCAGAGAGAGAAAACAATGAAATCGACTGAGTGAAAATAACACATTCTTGCCAAATACAAAAAAATAAACAAACCAAACATCACAAACAAAACAAAACAAAACAAAAACCATAAAAGCCAAAAAAAACAACCATAAAAAAAAAAAAACACAAAAACAAAACAAATAAGAAACTAAAATAAACCAAATCTAATCAAACCAAAACCACAAACAAAACAAAAACCAAGCCAAACCAAGATAATGGTCCGTGTACTTTTGCGTCCATTCATTTTTCCTTTTTTTTTACCCAAAAATGAAACACGGAAAATGGTTTTAAACAATGATGCATAGAATAGACACAAACAAATTTTCATTATTCAAAATTTGTATTTCATTAAAAATCGTAAAATGATATAAAGCTTGTTTTTTAATGTATATAAATGCTAAATTTAATTTCTAGCTTTTTTAACGTCTCTATACAGACACTATAAGCGAAGCATCCTCTTGCGCTACTGACGTGGCTACCAGTAACCTTTATGAAAATCTTTGGCTTTAAAGGGTTAGTTCACCCAAACATTTAAATTAGCCCATAAATTACTCACCCTCAAGTCATCCTAGGTGTATATGACTTTCTTCTTTCAGATGAATCCAGTCGGAGTTATATTAAAAATTGTCTTTGATCTTTCAAGCTCTATCGTTGTACTCAGCGGGTGTTGCATTCCTTCGGTTCAAATGACGTGAAATAAAAAGCACCCTTCCACAAAAAAAAGTGTCTCACACGGCTCCGGGGGATGAACAAAGGCCTCCTGTAGCGAATCGATGCGTTTTTGTAAGAAAAATATCCATATTCAAAACGTAATAATCACTTGAATCTAGCTTGCGCTCACTGTTGTAAACAGAAGCAGTTCCGGGGGAATGACGTATGAGTTCAGCGTTGCGCATGCGCCGCTCAGAAGTGATGCACGCGGAGAGATCGAAACAAAACAACGGTCACTAATTAGAAGTACAAAACGAGGATTTGTAAAGAAGAATGTCGGAGGATTTCGATATAAGCCAAGAGGAGACTTGTTTTCCTTTGCTAAAGTAAGGAAACTTTGCTTCCTTTGCTCCTGTAAACAAACGTTGGTTTTCACGAGACTCACCGGCGCATGCGCAACGCTGACCTTGTACGTCATGCTCCCGGAGCTGCTTCTGCGTATAACTGTTGGCGCAAGCTAGATTCAAGTTATTACGTTTTGAATATGGTATGGGCTAATTTAAATTTTTGGGTGAACTAACCCTTTAATGTTATTATGATATTGAAAATTTTTCATGTCTAAAAACATGTATGAAATACAATACAATTAGGGATGTAACAATTCACTCAACTCACGATTCGATTCGATTCCACGGTTTATAAATTATGCTCAAATTATTACCTGCACAGTAAAAAAAAAAAAAACTAAACATTAAAATGCTGAGAAAATTTTTTTTATTTAAAAGTAGATTATTGGGTTGAGTGTTGGAGTTCCCAGCATGCACTGGGGAATGAATAAATAAAATGGATGCCTCGTTTGTCAGTTCTGTCAGGACCACTATCGTCAAAGATGCCAAGCCTAGCATGGATGAGATCAGGGAGAGCAGCGATAACCCCCCAGGGTAAACAGAACAGAACCAATATATATGTATTGCAGATATCGTTAAAGTTCAATAATGTTATGTACACATTTTAGAATTAGTCTGATTCAAAGGAGAATCAGAAGGCTGAATCCCGACTGACGGGGAGGAGTTGGGGATGGAGAAGGGTAATTAGCTATTGAGCAATGTGAAAACTGCTGGCAAGGGACCTTATATATGAATGCTTTAGATAGGTGTCGTATTCCCATAGGTAGATGGGGATCAGCTGAGAGTCAGCTGATGCGAGCTTGACTAACG